TGTGAAATATTATTATGATGTAAAATAACGTTTTTCTATTTTAATATATATTAAAATCAAATTTATTCCTGTGATGCAAGTCTGAATTTCCAGCATCATTGCTCCAGTCTTCAGTGTCACATGATCTTCAGAAATCAGTATAATATGCTGATTTATTATCAGTGTTGAAACTGTTGATGCTTCATATTTTTTTGGAACCTGTAATACTTTTTTTCAGGATTCTTTGATGAATAAAAAGTTATAAAGAAGAGCATTTATTTAAAATATAAATATTTTCTAACAATATACTCTATCATTCAAAAGTTTGGGGTCAGTACATTTTTATTCTTTCTTTTTTTAAGAGACTTCTTTAAAAAGCATTACAAGTCTTACTGATCCCAAACTTTTGACCAGTAGTGTATATGCTATATATACAAGCAGAAATTAAATGTTTCGAAATAGTTTATTATTTATTTCTCATACAGTACACAGCTGTCACAATTAGTCACCCTCCGGTTCATACCATGGAAATCAATAGGCCCTTGCTTTGGGAAAAAAGATTCACTAATCTGTTTATACATCAGGTTAGAACTAGGATATTTTTTATCTTTAATGAGAAGAAATACATATTTAACTGACCTTCTGTTATAATGGTTATAACCCACCTTCAGCCTGAAGAGGCCGTAATTACCATATTTGGACAAGTAAGTGTGACGTGGATTTTGCCAACTTTTAGGCAAAAATACATGATGCTTCATGTTGCAAACTATGTTTTACTGTCATAATGACTTCACTGAACAATGAGGTATTGCTATGTTGCAAGAAATTACCCATTTACCGAGATCCTAACCCTACAGCGCAAGTACACACTTCAATTAACTAAATAACATATATATATATTTTACAGGTTTTTGCAGATTTATTCAGAAAATGTTGCTAAAAGTTGAACTTTTTGCCTCAAACACTTTGACATGATCATATTCTTACCAAATAAGGCCCCAAAACAAGACTAGAATATCACTTCATTCATTCAAAATGACATTTCTATATAAAATGACGAGCTTAAAAAGAGCCATTCTGACTGAAAAACTGACAAATATCTGTGTTGATCATTACAGAAACTGTTATTGTGCAAGGATTGAATTGTGCTTTCAGATCTCTGACCTGATATTACTGATTTATTAGATTTATTGAGCATAATGATGTGATCACGTGTGTGCCAGAGAGACTCAAGACAATGAACCTCTTTTACAAAGACATTTGCATCTTCAGGGTGTTACTGAAGGCCAAACACCCGTGGATTCAGATATTTGCATGCATGGTTATTTGAAATAGCATTTCAAGGAACATCATTTAAAAACACATCGAATTCGGAGTTATTCCGAATGTCATTCTTCATCAGGATGGACTTTCAGTGGCTCCCATAAACATCTATTCACTACAGTCAAACTTATTAACGTGCGAATGTCATTAATTAAGCAACAAAATAACAAAGTAAGTGTCATTGATTGTAAAGAAAGGTACACAAACAACATTGCATTTTGTTCTTTTGGTTAAATTATTTTGCATTTTGACATCTCAATAGTTCTCTGTGAGCAAATGAGACTTGATAAACTGGATCTTAATGTAACCACGCACTGAAGTTCACCATTAAAGCCCAAATAAACATGATTTGCATGTTTGCAAATGAACTGTATGTCAGTGTCCGGTGGCTCTGAGCTGCGGCTCATAATACAACGGTTTCATATGTGGACGCATCAAACTCTTGTGGACTTTATCTCAAGAATGTAATAATAAAATGATTTAGGACTTATGATTTATTTCCTATGCCTGTGGAAAACTAAACTAACTTGCAGTGTGTCTCTATCAGGTCGCTGTCTCTGGGAATTATGTTTTGGAAAAAGCAGAATTTGCTGTGGCTGATGATCGTCTGTTGTGTTACGTGCCAGATGAGTATGTTTCCTTCAAAAAATGCATTTATCATGTCGATGAATGTTGTTTTCGGTGCACGGAGACTTATAGTGTTGTCTTTGTTTGTGCAGCCTGTTCAAAAATAATGATAATCGGCGAGACTTTGACAGATACATGTTCCTGGAGCTTCAATAGATCAAACAGATCTTATCCAGGTACATAAGAAATATACTAAATTGGCTGCAAATACTGTATGTTTGTTTTCTGATAGTGCTCATGATGAATGACAAATTCATTGAGCGGATGTTTTTTTTTTCTTCCAGCTATAAACGTGACATGTTCACCAGCGTATGAAATACTGATCGGAGATTTTTGCATAGTAAATGTAAAACAAAACACCTCTTCCCTGGGTAACGGTCTTATTTTTAGTATCATTCATTTATGACTATAAACTTTATGAATATTTTGAATTAGCTTTAATTTTTATATTTACAGCTTTTAATTTAATTTTAGTTTGTAATTTTGTCATTTTTATTCATTTTGTTGTTGTTGTTGTTTTTATTTAATTAATTCTTTTTTAATTTAGCTTTAATTTATTTCAGTTTTAGTAATTTTTTTACCACCCCCCCATATGACATATTCTGTTTTATCAAATATTTTGTTATGTTTTATTTATTAATTTTAGTTACTATAACAACGCTGCTCAGTGTAAAAAAAAGATTTTTATGATGTTATCTCAACCTTTTTTTTTCTGTTGTCCAGTCAACTTATATAACAATATTTTGACTTATTTGACTTATGTCAATGAACTCAAAATCTTAAAGCAAGCAGGTTACTTACTTTTTAACTTACTGCATTTATTTTAATTATAAATGATTCTTGAAAATGTAAAAATAATTTTAACAAATGTAAAATGTTCTCTCTTGTTTCCAGGACATTGCAAACCATACCGTTTCAACATAACAAACAATGTGGGGAAATATGAAGTAAGAATGAATGAGACGGTTAAAAACATAACAATGTGGTTTCTCCCAAAAGGATCTCAATGTCTTCCATCAGAAGTCCTGCATTCAACAGGTACGTGTCGTCCTACGTTAGACGCAGTATAACACACATGCAAAACCACATATGTATGGATGTACTTTCCATGCATTTGTGTTTGCATGCATGATCTTTGCTGTCAGTGACAATGACGTCATTGCTGGTTAGATTTTGAATTCTGAACATTCCATCAATCAATGAAAAGCAAAAATAGAACGTACATAAGACTGAATGTATATACAAATCAAACTATTTGAATGAAGTCTGTGTGTTCGTTGTCCTGTAAGCTCTGTAATGAGTTCCTGAGAAAGAGCAGATCATGGTACATACGCAGACTATTTTAGACTACTTCAGAATAGTTATATTTAGTTTGGGTAGTACAAATTTCATCTCTTCCATTCTGCAGGATCCACATCAAATCATATTGGGACTTGCCAGACACAGCAATCTACTACCACCATTACTAACAACCCTAGCAACTGCACTAGCACATCCATCACCACCACCTGCAATGCCATTAATCCAGATACGTGTAAGATCTCACACTCTTCTATAATCCTATTGATTGTCATTGCAGCCAGATACATTGCATTTCCGTGTAATGTGAGTTCAATGTACCTATTTACAAAGTGATTTTGCAGTGTTGAGCATTGTAGCCAAAAGCAGGCATTTCAGTTGAAAACAATGACCAATCCCGGTTGTGAGAATCCATTCAGTATCTCTCTGAATGCGTTTTTTTAAATATAAATTGACTATGTTTTACATGCATGCAAATCCTCTCATTATAACAAACAAAGCGGATGCACATTGTATTGTGAAGTTTAGCCAGATTCACTGATCTGATGGGAGTTTTCATATCCAATGAATTTGCACTGAAATGACGGACAGCTTCAGTTATTATAAAGAAAGCGCAATTCAACTCGCTGTCAGTGTAACCTCATTCGCAATTTGAAGTAGTTTTTGTTTTTCACGAGGCTTTGTGACCTTACCTACAAACATCTACTTCCCACTTCAGTACAACAAGTGACAAAAAAGACAAAATGGCAAAAAAAATGATTTTTAAAAGTTGTAATAGTGATTCGATAATGTCTAAAAAAATAGCTTGAAAAAACAGTTAGGGAGTGAAAATGGCTATAAGCCAATAAATGCTCCTCTGCAGCCATCTAGTCATGTCAAGTCATCTTTATTTCTATAGCGCTTTATACAATGCAGATTGTGTCAAAGCAGCTTTACAGTGTTAAACAGGAAAGTAGTGTGTTGATAATGCAAGAGGACAATATAAACACTCAATTCTACTGCAGATGTTACTCAAATCTACTGGTTATAGTGGTAATTTTTTTGTCTTTTCTTCCGTTTTAAAATAAAAGTGTTAGTCTTCCTACATTGTGAAACTTTCAGTTTTAAAAATGGGGACAATTTTTGAAGGATGAACAAGAAACGTTTTTGGTCATCACATTAAAAATAAAATTTACATTACTACTCAGACTTTTAAGCTTTGAAATTATGTAAAACGTTGTGTGAAATACTGGAAATTCCTTGGAAAAGTACTTGAAAAGTCCTTCATTCTTATAACAGTGGTCTGTAACAGTCTCATTTGCTATGTTTGATCAAAGTTATTAATCTTTGGATGCTCCACACACACACACACACACACACACACTCAACACCACACACACACACACACACACACACACACAAACAAACGCACACACACACACTCAACACACACACAAACACACACACTTGTCGTTTAGTCGAACCAGTAAGATTTGATGACGTCATCAGAGTTCGCCACTGAGTGTAGGCCTTCATATGACGACATACTGAGCATCAATTCTAAGCCATTTAGCTGGTTAGACTGGTTTAAGATTTATATGATTTTCGCAATTAGGAAAGTCCAAAATACCAATAAATTCCTGTGTGCATTTTACAGCCTTTTTTTTATCAACATAACAGAATATACAGTATATTACAATATATTAGGATAAATATCAACATTTATTTATGTGAAGACAGATTATGCGGCATGAAAAGTGTGAAAAGCATTTTTGAATCACATAAAATGCAAATAATATATTTAAAATAATACTATCTTATATAATCATAAAACAAAAAATAAGATGTTCAAACAAATAAGGAAATTCTAAAATGTTTAGCATAAACTTAGTTTGATGTACTAAGACTGATAGTAAAAGATCAAACAGATCCTTATTGATGATGCAAGCTATACACATACAAACAGAAGAGCATATAATATGAACGCAATACTCTAAATCACATACTTTCCTATGGCAAAATTTTAGATTTATTAGTCTATTAAAACTCAAAATTCAAGGCATTCTAAATTGTAGACGACTGAAATCCGATCATATTTAAATAGTCTGAACGTCAACGAACTACATGAAATCCGATTTTTGCAAATCCGTTTCAAGCTACATTCATATGTGGTTTGGAATCCTATTCAAATCGCATTCCTGGAAATCCGTTTCAGTCTGACCGGTCAGATCGGATTTAGCCTAGCTTTTTCACGTTTTCACGCCATGTAAAACGTAAAAAACGTCAAACGTTTTTGTAGAAAACACAATGAACGTCTTTACAGAAACAAGCTTGTGTTGTTGCGTATGTTGGAATGAAAGACACTAAGTACCGGATGAAGTGCTTCTTATTCTTACCCAAAAATACAAAATGGAAGAAATAGTTAAAACTGAACACAATCTTGCTACTCAAGCGGTGTATGAACATTTTTATATATATTTATTTGCTTCTTTTTCCATTTTGCATTTACTTGTACTTTTACTTTCAATACTTAAGTATATACTTATCGTACTTAAGTACAATAAAGCCTCGTTCAGACTGTCAGCCCAAATCCGATTTTTGTGCAAATCCGACTGAAATCCGATCATATTTAAATAGTCTGAACGTCAACGAACTACATGAAATCCGATTTTTGCAAATCCGTTTCAAGCTACATTCATATGTGGTTTGGAATCCTATTCAAATCGCATTCCTGGAAATCCGTTTCAGTCTGACCGGTCAGATCAGATTTAGCCTAGCTTTTTCACGTTTTCACGCCATGTAAAACGTAAAAAACGTCAAACGTTTTTGTAGAAAACACAATGAACGTCTTTACAGAAACAAGCTTGTGTTGTTGCTAACTGCAAGTTATGTGGAAAAAGACAATATACTGCTAGTATACGCACCTCTTTGAGTTTTGAAACCAGCGGAGACGGCTGCACAGAATACAGCCGCACATTCCAGCTTCCTGCATTTCTGCTGCTGCCTCATAAAACGAATCCATAATAATAATAATCCAGCGCGACGGTAACATGTTGTCATGTCGTAAGGCAACATCTGTATTGCAAACTGTGTTGCTGTTATTGTTGTTTTTAACATTGGCATAACTTTATTTGAATGAAAATTATAATAATAAGAACTCAGATAAACCGTATATTGCCGTAGTCGTGTGTTTATTAGTCACATTGAATTAATGAAAGCAGTTGAATCTTCTGTTTATTCAGCTGCAGTCATAGGCATTTTCTGGGTTTCGAGAGCGCCCTCTGGCCTTTGGATGGAGATTTACTGCTGATCACAGAACCGTGCTTCACTGAAAGATACGCATGACAATCGCAGCTTCTGTCGAATCGCGATCTCGATTCCATTTCGATTTATCGTGCAGCCCTACTTCCAAGTCTATATCTCAAATCATACACTGCAATTATACACCGTTTTGTTGAATTATGCGTCATGTTCTCTTTAGGTTGTTTGAAAATCCCTCCTGTTGATCCTGAAGAGAAATGTAAAAACGCTACATATGGACATGACGCATGCAGTGGTAAGTTTGAGACTTAAGATTTTTAAAGTTTGATTTCAGAATCAAAAATATAGTACAATGTGAACTGACAGTCTTCTTATTTCCAGCATAGCTGTAGGCATAATATTATGATTTCTTGAGCTTTTAAACAGAATACACTTGCTTGAGAAATTCATTAGTACACTCTAAAAAATGCTGGGTTGTTTCAACCCAACTTTGGGTCAAATATGGACTAACCCAACTTTTGGGT